AAAGAGACGTTGGACGCGTCGCTTCTTCCCGCGAGGAAGCAGGTGTGATGATTGAGTCACTGCGGGATTTCATGCACGCGCGCTGCTTCTGCTCCCTACAGAAATGTGCCGCGACCTCCTCAAACGCGTCCAATCCGTCTTCACTGCGAACGCAAAGAACAGCTCCGCTCTCCAAGGTGTTCACCTCCAGAACCCCCAGAACCCCCAGAACCCCCAGAACCGTCTCAATCCGCCCGCTGCGATCTATAAAACAGACGCCGTTCTCCTGCTTTAAATCCCCGCCCCTCCAATGCAAATATTGCAGAAGGTATAAAATACACTTTTTATGTTCTACAATTTTATGTCGGACATATGTTTCGTATTTTTGCATCAAAATAAAATCCTAGTTGTAAAAATATTTGTAATTTTTTATTCGAGACATCTCAAAAAAAGAAAGTAAATATTCTAAATGATCTGTAGTCTTTCAAAGACAAATGTAAAAATTAGTATTAATGCAATAGTATAAAATAGTTTCAACTCACAATAATGCTGATTTAATTTCTCTGTTAGGTATGAAATGTACTGCTCGTGAACTTTGACCCAGAGGATAGTTCGATGGACACTTGATTCAATTCACACCGATTGGAGGATTTTAATGAAGCCTGGGACTTAAAGCACAAGATGTGCGTGAGAGGACAAATTTGGCCGCATTTTGTTCAACAACAAATAAGTGTAATTAGTTATTAATTTTTAAAACAAGCGAATCTGCAAACTTCACAACCTTTGGATTGTTATTGAGTTGTTTCAACTTCATTTGGGTTTAACTAAATACTTCAGTGCGGCTTTAAAAGACTCAATAACTCATAAAGATAAAACTAAAAGTAGGCTTCTGTTTCCGGATGAATATTTCAGCATGAAGCTGTTTGTTTGTTTGTTTGTGTGCACCCGTGTGTATAAACGTGTGTGTGTGTGTGTGTCTGTGTGAGAGGCCGCGTGACGTCCCTCCACATCAGTTTGAGAGTTCTGCACACAGACGAGTACACAACTGTAGACAAATACACAACTTCCTAACACGTGTCAGGGGTCACAAATAACAGTAATCTGTAAAATCTGCTTCTTCTTGAAACATCTGCTGTTTGCTTCACATGTATTCAATGTGATCTTTACAGCAGACTTATTATTAACCTTTACACGATGAATTATTCACAAAGGGGGAACAAACATGTCGGTGTTTGATTCACACACAAAGCAGCAGACATTCTCATATTCTTATTAAATGTAACGGAAAATGGAAAAGTCTCTTCTTGTTTCCGGGCTCTCGTTTGCATAACGGCGTCCGATAAAGGACACCTTATTGGGTTTCTCATGTCGGGTGGTGCTGCTGGTGGAGGAGGTTCATCTGTAAACGCTTTGAGAGAAAGTGGAAGGAGGGGGTCACGTGGGGATCTTGGGAGAGTTTTATCTGGGCAAAGTGCAGCTTTTGAGGTGTTGAGATTTCAGAGATTTGACGGCAGCTGGAAAAGTTTTTTTTTTTATTTTTATATATGTGACCCCATGAGGTTTCCATTTCATTGTGAACAACATCACACGTGTGTTACTGCGCGTCACGGCCGAGCAGAGGCCTCCTTTGTTGAGGGTTTTTCCCTCTGATGAAAAGTGTCATTATGAATTGTCACCCGAAAAAAAAAAGGGCTTGATTCTGATTTAGGGCCTGCTGTAGTTTTTAATTTCCTGTTTCGTTTTGGATGCGTTCAGTGTTCGGGCTGTTTCCCGGTGACGCGCCGCTCCGCGGGCCTGCAGGTGTCGTTTTGCGGCTTTAAGCGGTGTTTGGGCCCTTTAACGTCCGTCCCTTTGATGATGGAGTGAAGCAGCCCGGATGGAGGCCGGGGTCTGGGGGGGCCCGGGCTGGAGGGCACGTTTCAATCGGTGGTGACATGGCGACGCGTTGATGGGTCTGAGCGGGTCAGTCTGAGGGACTGAGGACAACTTCTGGGGAAACTATCACTCCAGTTTGGACTCAGTCACGTTTGTTCCGCCTGGTCGAGCAGACGAGCAGCAGGTGATGGAGAGAACGGAGCCCCGCGCCCTCGTGCCAGGTTCCCCGCGTTGGAACGACGCTGCGTAAAAAGCGTAAAATTGACTCCGCTCCGTTTCAGCGCTGCCGTCTCATCGGCTCCCCCCCGTTTTTCCCTCCCCCGCAGACTCGGAGGCGAGTCCCGGCTCGGACGGCGAGGGGCTGGCCGAGAGGACGTCGTGCTCCTTCGGCTCCCCGGGCGAGCTGGCCCCCGCGGCCTGCGAGCCGTCGGCCCCGGCCTCCATGGAGGAGATCCAGGTGGAGCTGCAGTGCGCGGACCTCTGGAAGCGCTTCCATGACATCGGCACGGAGATGATCATCACCAAGGCGGGCAGGTAGGAAACACACACATGAATGTGAAGGGGAAGTGGCAGCACGCTCCACATGCCCAACAAGTGAATTGGTTTGGTTCATCAAACGTTTCATGAAACGGTGTTTGTTGGTTATTTTCGTCTATTTTCTTTCCACCTCAATGAAGTCCAGCTGGTGCTGATCTTTCTTCTCAATAATGTTTTATTCATTCTTATTGGAGGAGTTTATTCGTCGCATTTTTTAAAACTAAAATGAAACTTCCCAGAATGCAGCTTAATTGTTTTTAACTAGGTTATTTTCTTAACTGTGACTTCTGCTGCTCTCAAACCGCACGACTGTTTTTTATGAATCGGGTTCAAATTGGTAATCAGCTCGTAAATGGAAATATTATTTCACATTTCTTTCTGCGTGGAGTAATTGTGAAGGTGGACACTAAACGTCTCCGTGCACATGTCCCGGCCGCTCATAATAAGCTCGTAAATCCAGAGGAGAAGAGGGGGGGGGGGGGGCTCTGATCTCGTTACAGGCCTCAGATTTACGAGCTTTAAATGAAATGGAAATGTCTCCCAGTCACATGCAGACCCTTAATAACGGGGCTCTTCTGTTTTTCTGACTGTAATCTAAAAAACACATTTACTTCAATTCAATATCACGTCCACTTTCAAATGATGATGAAACAAAGAACACAACTACGCAGTAACAAGTCCCACTGTCCTGGAGGGCAAAGGTCAGAGGTCACGGTGGCTCGCAAACACTTTATGGAGTTATTTTTGGAAAATTCTCAGCGAGCACAAACTTGTGTTCTTGCCATGAAAAGAGCAACTTACGGTATTATGTTCCGAAAAATATAAACACATAAATCGGAGTAACCTCTGTTGTTCTGAACTCGTGTTATTAAGAAAAGATTCTCTGGAAGAACGCAACAAATATTCAAATGTTGCAGCATAAATCTTACTACTTACGTCAGAATCCACTTTATTGGACAATTATTCTTTTTCCTCCACTTTTGATTCACTAATACAGAAATATGAATAAAATATTTGGACGACGACAAAACCGCTGAACCAATATAAATATTATGAATAGAATAAAATATTAATATAAAAACAAGACTTCTATAAAAAGCACCAATGTTCAGAAAGTTAACCAAGATGATGAATAACATTTAGAGTAAGTGACGCGGGGATCCGCGTCTAGCAGCACTTCTTGATGTTGCTTTTGTTTTCACCGCGTAGATTTTTGCTTTTGTTTTTCTTCTTCTGGCGTTTAGTGTCTTTTGATACATTTCCCTTAATGAAATAACTGCAGCTCAGTCGCCCAATTAGGTTTCAGTAAATGTCTCCGACGCCATCATGTTGAGTCCGATTGTCTCTTCTTCCTTTACCTGAATGTGTTCGGCTTCCAACCAGCTGCTGAGTCCATCAGTCTGCTGCGGCGACGCTGATTTCTTGCACGCTGGTTATTTATCTGTTAATTGACGTAACAGATGCAGAGAGACGGACGAGCATCGCTCATCTCTGCGTGTCGCCCGTTCTCCTGCAGGAGGATGTTTCCTGCCATGAGAGTGAAGATCGCCGGCCTGGACCCTCACCAGCAGTACTACATCGCCATGGACATCGTGCCCGTGGACAACAAGCGATACAGGTAACCCCCCCCGCCCCCCCCCGCCCGGATGCACGCCAATGGAGTGAAGTCAACCAATGCACAGCTGCGCATCACCTGCACACGCACGGCCGCACATCTGCACGTGCCGATGCAGGATCGAGCCCCGGACTCTTGTGACGAGGCCACAGCTGGAGCAGATGGAAGATGTTCGTTTAGCAGATTTCTCATAACTGCGACGGGGAAGTCCCGCCCATCTCCTCTGCAATACCACGTAAAGTAGTTCCTCCAAACACCCCCCCCGGCTGCAGGGACGGGTCGCATGTGATGCATCTCTCTGGGTTTGTATTTAGACCCTCGCAGAGAGGACATGAAATGT